GGGTGTGGGTGTGGGTGTGGGTGTGGGTGTGGGTGTGGGTGGGGGTGGGGGTGTGGGTGTGGGTGTGGGTGTGGGTGTGGGTGTATGTGGGTGTGGGTGGATGTAGGTGTGGGTGTGGGTGTGGGTGTAGGTGTGGGTGTGGGTGTTGTTTTTTGTTGTATCTCCCCATAAACACTCGCACCCACACCCACACCCTCACCCACATCCCACACCCACCCACAGCCACACCCCACACCCACACCCTGTAGTTAAAGTTTTGATGAGTGAAGTCTTCTATGCTCATCTGAAGCTAACTCCATCAGATAAAACTTATAATAAGAAATGTACATATGATCTTAATTGTGTTTGTCTTCAAAGTTTTACTAAATGTGAGAAATTCGAAATTCCTTAGTAGCCAATATACAGTCAAAGAAAAGCTAAAATAGAAATTCGATGCAACTTTCATGATCTAGTCTTCATATTTCCAACATGTTTTCTCGTTCATTCTTGATTAGTGATTTTCTTTTGGTGACCGATTTGTACTTGAGTATTTACTATACTTGTCTGGGATTAATTAATGATCATAATATCAACGCCAAGAGAAGCAGGGAAATATGATGTTTTCTCTTTCCATCATGTTATTTTTTTCCCGCTCGTTTGTTTAAGATGAAAGAAGATTTATACATATATCGTACTACGTATGACTCGGCAAATCATTTAGATACGAAATGACAAAACCTAACAATATAGAAAATAGTCGTAGTACTGCAATCTTTCTTGAACAACATCTTAATGAAAAAAAAATCATCAATATATGCTGGGTGTTGGTGGGTGTGTATTGTTGTTCCGTAGATCGACAATATATACATATCTTTTTTTTAGATTTGTCTAAAATGCGAGAGTTGATGATCTCAATTTTCTATATTCCCATAAGAGAACACTCACCCAAGGCAATATTGCATCGAACAAAGAACAATATGGAATCCACAAAACAAAACGACATTATATCGTAAGTGAGAGAATCAGGATGTCCGCAAAGAAATTATCAACATTCATCTACAATATAGTTTTGAGCATTTCTCGAATATCTTGTATAAATATATTTCTAATCAAAGTATAGGTATATAGTGGCGACCAAAATTGAGCGTCCAACTTTTGTTTTTTATTGTTCTTCTGAACCACAATAGCTAGTGCAAATCTGAAAAAAAGATTTGAGCAGCTGAAAGAGTCTATAATCAGATAAGGTTTATATGAAAATTTCATTAAAATTGCTGGACACCAGGTTCTTGGAAAACCAAGATTTAAAAAAACCGCAAAAAATCAACTTCCGAGATTCCAATGGAAAATTTTTGGAAATAGCCCACTCGTGTAGAGCGAAAATTTCTGAGCAAAACTAAACGTCGCCCACCGTTCTACGACGTCTTTTCATCGAACTGCATTCAGTTTACGAAAGACTCCTCAGTCATTTTTGCTATAGTTTTCGCTCTTTTTCTAAGAATTTTGCCGTGGAAGAGCGTTTCGTAAATTGAACGCAGTTCGATGAAAAAACGTCGTAGAAAGATGAGCAACGTCCAGTTTTGCTCAGAAATGTTTGCTCTACACGAATGGGCTATTTCAAAAACGTTTTCGTTGGAATTTCGGGAGTTGATTTCTTTTGGGGGTTCTTTAAATTCTTGGTTTTCCAGAGACCTGGTTTCCAGCAATTTCAATGAAATTTTCATATACACCTCATCTGATTATAGACTTTTCAGGTCCTCAAATCGTTTTTCAGATTTGTACGAGCTATTATGGTTGAGGAGCAGAATAAAAACAAAAGTTGGACGCTCAATTTTGGTCGCCACTGTATGCTTAATAAAAATCACGCAGAATAGCAATCTATTGTCGAACAGGTACTGTATCAGTCGACATGAGTGGTTCCAATTCAGGTATTTTAAATTTAACTTCAGTCCATTTCTTGCAAGTTGAAATTTCAATATCATCATTTTGATTTTTGGAAGAGAATTTCAATTTTTTGCATGCAAGTGCACATATTTCTTTAATATCTGGTCGATCTGTATATTGTTGGACACCACCTATGTCCTCACGACATTTCCTATTTCCACATCGAACTTTTCCTTAAACGAGAAATGTAGGTAAATTCAAGACAAAATCTATCTAAATATGATTTGTACCATTCACTTGTATTTCTTTGAATATTTGTGCTTCAGGATATCGTTCAATTTCTATCCGTTCGGTAAGTTGTTGTTGTCGAACAAAATAATTATTATTTCGCTTGCGTATCCATGAAAGTTCACCCAAATAATAATCGCATGAGCGACATGAAACTTTGCCATCTATGGTCTCTGGATCTTGTAAACTAGATTGAATTACCTGTTTTATTTCCGCTTCGGCACGCCATGTATTAATAATTCGATTCTAAAAGAAAAACAAAATAATTCAAACTTTTCTAGAATCTAAGAAAATGATAAAAAAAGCTCTCGATTTTTGTTCTGTAATAAAAAGAAAGTGTGAAATACTTCATTAACCTGCACATTTTGAAGATTACATTTCAATTCATCGGGTGATATTTGTTGCCAACTGTTAAGTGCTTCTAACATTTCCTTTTCTTTCAAACGATTTGTTATTTCTTTTATGTGATTTTGTGAACCTATGTAGATGATAAAGTGAAAAAACTTTTTTTGTAAAAGTTTTTTTTTCTTCATATCAGAACTTCTATATACCTGCGTCAACAACTAAAAAACAAGAACTTTTTTCTGCTCGAGCTCGTCCTCTTGATTGAACTGTACCAATTTCATTTGAAACAAATTCATAACGTATAACAAAAGAACATTCTGGTACATCTAAACCTTCTTGTACGATATCTGTAGCAATCAACACATTTGGCAGTCCTAAACATTCATCATAGACTGATAAAACTATTCAAATGAGCAAAGCAAACCTTTTCGAAAATTGTTCAATGTTTCGTCTTGTTCGCTGAGACTATTCTGATAATCAACACCATTTTGACCAACAAGCCAACAAGGTTTTATAATGTTCTATTTGGATCATATACTTTATTTTAACTGCTAATAATCAATTTACCTTAACATCTTGATGTTCATTGTAATAATCAAACATAAGCTTTGCATAAAGTGTACGCGATACCAAAATTAATCCTAAAAACAAAGATTTTTCACAATCATAAAGTGCAAAAAAGAATAAAATTTACCTCTCGCATTTTGTCTTTGTTTGATAAGTCGTTGCAATAAATCAGTTAAAAAATCAAGCTTGGGATTAGTTAAATAATACTGACTTGCTTTCAATTGTTCAACTATACTATTTACTGTTTGTAGACAATAATCATGAATTTCAGTTTCAATTTCTATTGGTGTTTCTTTTTTACTAAAAGCAACAAGTGAGAGCATTCTACTTTTGTTGACAATAAGAAATATACTTGTAAAATAGATCAATTTTCTTGATGATATCATCTATTATTGATTTTATTGGTAAATCAGTTAACGCATTGAGTCTTTTGACAAACATAATCATGTATCGAATTAGTATGACATTTATGAAATTATTATTTTTCTCTGCTTCATGTTTTCTTTCAACCAATTTTTGTTCGTCGGTTAATACATCAACAACACTGGGAGAACATCGAGATCCTATGTACATCAGCAAGGATTCAATTACTTCTTTTAATGTTTTTAAATACTGATCAAATGGCATTGATTGAACGGTGAGAATTTGATCATCTGTTGGTCTATGTATTTTTTTATTCAATTCTTCTATATGGTCTACTTTTTTTACAGTTACAACATCATAACAATTGAGTGTTGCACACAATTCATAGAGCTTATTGAGAGCATTATACCGACGTTTTTTATCATTTGATAATTCTTCAGATATTGCATCTGGATTCGTTAGTTTCGTTCCACATGAAGCAGTAAGACCAATTATTCTCGGTTGATGCTCCGATTGATGATAAATTAAATATTGTTCCATAATTTTCGAATATGGATGATTTCCAATACAATTATGACATTCATCAAATATTAACAAATCAATTTGATTTAAAAGAATAGTTTTATCCACTAAACAATTCAAAAATTTTTGTGGTGTACAAATAACAACATGACTGTACTGAATGAATTCATTAGCTGACGAATCATCATCACATGGCATAACACGAAGATCGCCAACATCACGTATAGCTGTTACTTGTTGATCACGAATTGAGCGATTAGGAATGAAGAAAAATGTTAAAAACTGCTTATCATTTTCTTTCCGTTTCTTCATGTAATAATATTTTATTAATAATGCAGCTATGTATGTTTTTCCTGCACCTGTTCGTAAACTAACAATCGAGTTTCCACTGTTTATGACTGATTGAACGAGTTCAATTTGAAAATCAAAAGGACGACGTGGAATATTTAGTTGTAAGAGATATTCATCAGACCATATTGGACTTTTTTCGAAAGATTCTAAATCTAAACTTTCGTAGTCTTGGATTTTCTCGACAGGTGAATTAAGATCCGTTGTAATAATTTGGTACGTCATTTTTTGTGCGATAACTGATGATGATGATGCCATGTCATCTTTAAAAAAAATTGAATATTATGTCAAACAATAGTATAGGTCATCTTTGATGATGAAATTATATGTCTAGTAAAGAAAATGAAACGAAAATTCAGGAACACTGCATCACTGATACAATTCTTAGAGTTACGTACCACTTCAAAGACTATTAAGATTGCAAATGCTTATAGTAAAGCTCGCCTTTGAATTAAAACCAAGTAATAATGCTCAAAAACATCTTACCTTCATATGTGCGCTTCATATTTGCCTTCATAGATAAAAAAAAGTTAACCAGATAGTTTTCGTTATGTAATATAAAAAGGTAGACAAAAGAAAATAATGACTAATATTTGGCAATCATCCTACGTAATGATATCATACATACAGACAAACACACATGAATCCGTAAAAGATAACAGCTATTATGAAGTTTTTTATACTAAATACTGCTGTATTCATATCGTATTGTAGAACAAGTATCAAAAAATATCTCAATGAGTCAATGATTTTTGTGTTTTTTTCTTCATTCACACTAGCCAAACGATTCATATTAAGCTTGATTCTAAGTCAATCCAAGGGTGTTAGTGTAGGTGTAGTTCTTAACTTTCTTAGCACCCATGCCGTTCACACCGACATGCCACACGCCTTGACCGACTTCAACGTGAACCAGATGGGACGGGTGTGGGTGTTATTTTTTGTTGTATCTCCGCATAAACACTCGCACCCACACCCACACACCCACCCACACCCACATCCACACCCACCCACGCCCTCAAGATTCGAGCTTTTTGAAAAAACATACGCCCCTAGACTTTTGCCAAATAGAATATCGAATATACTATGGAATGTCTAGCTGTGAAAAAACTTTCATTCTGAGAAATGACAGAAAAATTCAAAAAGATGTTTTCAGAACACTGATTGTCGGTCGAAAAAACACTATTTCCATTTAATATTCATTCTACAAGTTGTGCTAGATAGAACTTCACAAGATCTATCGAATAATAAGAATTAAAACAAGATCTGAGTCATCAATTAAGTAGAACGGGGTCAGAAATTGTTGGACCAGGTCGTGGGACTCGGGATCTGAGTACATTTTTGAGTAGACGGTTGTGTTGCCCATCAAATCAAATGTGACAGTAAGAAATTGATGAACTGTTTCTATTGAGAGCAAACACTAATGATGCAAGTGAAGGAAGAGATACTAAGACTCAATAGCTATGTGGACCAGCGACTAGTATCGTGAATATGTGCGGCTGTGGGTTCTTGTAGATCAATAGATAAGACACAGCCACAGCCACACTCACCACTCACACCCACACCCACACCCGCTATCTTGTAGTGATAATGTGTTTTTTTCTTCTGGATGATGATAAAAAATGGTAGTTCGCTGTCTCTGAATTGTTGCTAACGATGCTTATTCAACTTTTTCTCATTATTAATATAGGTATTTCATTTTAACAATTGATGTTAGATTTCAACATGAACTGCAAGACGAGCCAACACTATACTAGGTGTGCCAATCTCAGTTAGGTGATGGTACGTATTTGAGAGAGAAACTATTCTACTACTCAATAATGAATGAAAGGCAAAAAAACACGTCTTTCTACTCTGGTCCGCTGATTATAATGTTTATATTAGTTTGTAGACATCATGNATGAGACTAACTTGCTTTCCGAACAAATCGAGCATTATTTTCATTATTCATCGCTGTTGAAAAAGAAAGATGATACGTTTTTAAACTTTTATCAATACCCCAATTTCATAATTCACATTCTGTTATAGTTTTAACCATTCATTAAAAGCAAGAAAAATACTTGTTTGTAAGGTTTATGGTTAATCTTTGGTTCTCCCGTGACGAAGCATCGGATACGAATAAGCTAATTTATACTGATGCATAAAATAATCATGTGTATCATGTGAATGTGAACAGCCTAAATCGTAGGCATTGAACAAATCCATATTGATAAAATGATGATAATTTTTCGTTAGGATTTCCCCAGACATAAATGTGTTTTTTGGGGAAAAAAATTTGTCGACATAATTGTTTTATTGTTGCTCTTGTATAAAGTCACTGGTTCTTTTAAATGTAAAATTCATTCCTAGATATAAAACTTCAAAGAGAAGAAAGAAAGGTGTATGATTTAAAGAATTAAACTGAATTTGTATTAGTGCTGGTATAAAATGATATACTGAGGTATAAGGTTCAATTTAATGTTGTGTATCAATGGCAAAAGAATGCGTTCAAAGAACTAAGTGAATGAATCATTTAAAATTTCCATGGATGTCTGTCGACGTGTAAATATGAAATGATAGTTAATTGATAGTTCACATAATCAATAAATATGACAATGCCATTCCAGAAATCTTGATAGCGTTGATTACATTAAACATTTTCACGTCGATATCGTAAAATTAAGCGCTCTAATTTATCCATAGATGATTCCATCTGGATCTGTGATTAGTATGCACATCATCTACAACAAAGAAAGAAAAATATTGCCTTGGAACATTATTTCTGCACATTTTTTTTGTTCATTAATAAATTTATTTTTCTACAAAGACGTGCAACATCAATTACCAATATAACCACCGTTTTTTTCGATAGCTTTCGACCATCTTGCTGGCAATAGTTCAATGCCACACTTGTAGAAAATAGCAGGTTGTGATTCGAAAAAGGCAATGAAGTCAGACTTGAGCTCATCGAAGCCTTCAAAGTGTTGTTCGCACATATAGTTACGGAGGGATCGGAACAAATGATAATCGGATGGCGCTAGGTCTGATGGTCACGTCGGGTACGCAAGAACTTCCTATTTCAACTGTTTGTTTGTTTGTTGAGTCAACTTTGATACATGAAGTCGGACGTTGTCACGAAGAAGGATGACGTCTTTTTGATTCGCCAAGCCCGATCGCTTTTCAAGTAGAACTTCGTGCAATCGCTGCAATTATCGAGAGTAGACATTGGCGGTACTCGCTTGATTGGTGCCTAAATGCTCGAAATCGATGATACCCTTCGTATCCCACCAGATGCACAACATTATCTTCTTTGGATAGGAGTCTACTTTTACATCTGGTAATGAGTTTTGGCTAGAATGACACCACGACAGACGACGATGAACGTTAGCGTAACACACTCATTTTTCGGCTACTTCTGATTTGCGAACATAAAGAAAATAAATTTTAAGTAAATTAAAATTTTTAAAATTTTGTTTGATTTAAATTTGATAATCTTTTTAATTTTTCGTAAAGCGATTAAAATTTATATATAACTTTTAAAAATTTGATTACTACGAACGAATATTGAAAGTAAATTGTTGTAGAAAATTTTAATAAAAAGTTATTTTTTTTTACTAAGCATGCTACAATTTGTAGAGGACGTTAAGTTTTGGTTGAATTAAGATTTTCGTTTGGGTCTAACTGCGAAGAATTTTAATAGAAGTCAAAAACAGAATGTACTATCTGACTTGTTTTTCTTTTGTTATTGATAAGCTAACACTCATAATGCACGAGCAATGATCGTCGATTTGGGCTGAACTAAGAACGATTTTAGTTAAAGACAAAGCGAGTTTTTAAGGAGATTGTATCATAATTTGTTGTAATAATCGATATTTGTTCCGAATGTAGTGTGGGCGGATCGAGCTGTGGCTGTCAAGAGAAGATGCTCATCAACATCTATATTTCTAAGTCGTCTTTTTTAGAACATCACTTTTGTATTTTTGATTTTTATGTATAAATGCTTTTGCAGTCCAATCAGTTGTCTCCATTCAATGTTTGATTCCATTTTATAATCATAATTTTTTGGTTTGTTCAAGATTAAAAACAGCTGATGGCCTTCATAGTAACAATTATGTCTGATGGACTCTATAAATGGCAGTCAGTTAAGAATAAAAAAAGGACTACTATATTTTAGCACACTCTACAAATTACAGCTATATTAAAACTGTTGTCAGTAATTTTTTTTTTAACTTGAAAACCGAAAATTTGAGAACTAAGATTATTTTTAATTTGAAGAAATTAAAATTTATGTTCGCAAAGGAGAAAACACACTTCAATTAACGACCCACAACTTATTTTAATAACATTGCATACCTTTGAACACCATGACTCCGGAAGCAAACATGTGACTCCTGGAGTCTATGATCAATTATCCATATTTTAGCAATGCTAAATTTAGACTATGTTAAACATTGTATGCTCCTATATTTCTGGAGATTTCATCAATTCATTGACAAGACAGTAGATGTGTCTACATTTTGATTTTCAGGAGTAAAGCAGTACAATGATAAAAACTTTAGTCGATCCATCGAACTCTTGTGAATTTTGAGTCTCTCTATTAAATCAGAAATGTCAAGTCAAGTCAAGTTTTGACTAATCGAAAGATACAAACAAATGTTCATCTTGGATTGCATGCTTGGAGCCCGCGAATCGGTTTCATTATTCCAAGAAAAAGTGAAGAGGCTATATCGATTATCAATGTGAATAAGAAAAGGATTCGCGATTAAATGTAACTGTGATCCTCTTCTTAAAAAAAAAACTGACTGTCTGAAGATGGATCAGGATGTGAATGAAGCGTGGAAAAAACAAAAGAAGGCCATACTAAAGATTCAGTAGAAAAGTCCTAAATGACCCCAGGAGGCGCAAGCGCAAAAATTTTTGTTAAACTTGACTGCACTCTGACACTATTCATACAATAGATAAGAACACAACAGTAGTGAAGCACCTTGAAAGGCTTCTTCCTTTGTACGCAGCTATTGTTCCAAGGCTTCAATCAATCTTCACTGGGACGGATTACAATTATTTTTCGTCGACGTCAGCCGACAGTTTGATCTGATTCATACAACTGATCTTTAACACATTTACTTACAATTCGTCTGATAGTGTATTTGGTATAGTAAAGCCTCTACCGCAGACTTCCTCGGCGACACATATCAATCTAGGTTTTGAGTGCACATTTTTTTTCTTTCGGTTGAATAGCTTGTTTCTAAACAAGCTTGTAGAATATGCCTGGCTTATCTTTC